ATCTACAGAGATTTTGGGATTCCATTCATTCATTCTCCCCGCACAAACCCCTCCTCCCTCCCCCCCATTTGCTCCTCTCCTTGAAACGCAAAAGAAAAACTCCCTCAGAATTGTCATTTTTATGATAATGAATCTTGTAATCCATGAGTATATTCTTCCATTTCTCCAGAACTCTTTTTGTTTCTTATAGTAATGTTTTGTAGTTTTCTTTGAATAGGTCTTTTGTGTTTCTAGTTAGATTGACCCCCAAGTACTTAATTTAATCTGTGATTAGCTATTGTGATTGAGTGGATTGAGTATATTAGGGATGGATGGATGGTACAAGTTAGTTAGAGCCATAGCCATTGTTCATAGAGGGTCACTATGATTCAATGGCACCTAACAACAACTATGCATCTTGGAAGAAGCTCTACAACAGTTAGTGATTCTTAGAAATAAGGGCAGTGAGACTCAACTGACATACGTGGGGCATGTTATCAAAATGATTAGTCCCTGGAAAAAGATATTGATGATTGGAAAAGTAGGAGTCCATTGCAAATGACACTCAAGAAGATGAATTGACACAAGGACTGACACAGTGAGCACAAGGGAGATTATGGAGATGGTGCAAGATCTAGTAGTAAAATTTCTGTTCATGTGGTTGTCCTATGTCCGAGGGGATTTGACTGCACCTGCCAACATCGCAGAATTTTCTGACAGAGCCATCTTTTTCTGGCTTGGCACTTTATAGAGTCTCTTTCCTCATCGTTGGGTTAATTTCTCCTACTTTCTTTTCAAGTCTTAGTTTAAATATCTTTTTCTCCCTGCCTGCCATTATAATCCCAGAAGACCAATCTATTGGCATATACAGCTGCCTGTTTCTTAATCCATCTCCCTGAAAAGACTGGAAGCTTCTTGAGGGGAGTTCGAGGAAGATTGGAAGGATTGGCGACCCACTTCCAAAATAGCAGGCCTTCGAAAACCCCAAGTTTAATAGAGTACACTTAGAATAGACTAGCAGATATGACAACTGAGGCTGAGCCCTCAAGTATGGAAACAAAAGGAGGAGGAACAGTTGTAAGCAGACACTAGTGACTGGAACATAGGAGATGGACTGACTTAGTGACTAGGGTCATGGAGGTAGGTGTGTCAGAGACGATAAGGTTGGCTCAGGTTAGAGCAGGGCTCAGAGCTGTTGTTATGAGTCAGAAGTGACTCGACAGCACATAACAACAACAACAGCTATTTTGATGAGTATTATTTTTCTTAGGTCCAATTCTGTATTCTCTGTCACTGTAAAGAAATCCAATTCATTTTTGTATCTTCATCTTATTTGCTAATTTTGTATGTTGAGCTTGTTACTTTGCTGAATTAGTTGGCTATGTCTAGTAGTTTCTCACTGAGTCTTTATGGTCTAAATATACTATCATATTATCTGCATATAAAGATAATTTTATCTCCTCTTTGCCAATTTGGATATTTCTTATTTCCTTCTCTTATCTTGTCTTGGCTGTTGTTAAGACTTCCAACACTGTACTGAGTAAGAGAGGTGATAATGGCTATCCTTGCTTAGTTTCTGTTCTCAAAGGGAATGCTTTTAATCTTTCTCCATTGTGAGTGAAACTGGCTCTTGGTTTTGCGCTTATAGTTTTCACTATGTTGAGGAAATTCCCCTCTATTCCAACTTTGTTGAGTGTTTTTTTACTCAGAAGAAGGTGTTGGATTTTTGTCAAAGCCTTTTTACATCAGTTGCTGGGATCATGTGGTTCTTTGCATTGTTAATATGATGAATTATATTAATTGTTTTTCTTATATTGAGTACCTTGCATGCCTGTTATGAATCCCACTTGGCCATGGTGAATTATTTTTTAATAATAAAAAAGTATTTTTTTTCT